TTCGGCGGGGAGGCCAGGGGGCGCGGCCGTCTCGGCGCCCTTCTTCGCGGGGACGGATGCACGACCCGCTCTCTCCTCTCCGCAAACCCCTCAACTTTGCCTCGTCTGTCCTGGCCGGGTCTGTCCCTTCTCTCTCTTTCTCCCGCGCTACTCTCCATCTCGCTTTGCATTGACCTCTGGCCTTCTGTTCCCTGCCGCCAGAGACTTGTGTGTCTCTTCTGGCCAGGTGACTCTGAGACGCCTTCACACTGTCCCCTTGCTCACCTGGGCCCTGTCGGGACTCCAGCCTAGCCCTCACTGAGCTCAGCTACTCTTCCCGTCACTCTGCAGCCCCTCACGCACACCCTCCAAACCAGTTGACCGAGACCTCTTCCTTCTCTCCTGAAACTGTGTTCTCAGCCTGGAGTGCTCCTCCTGGTCACACTGGTACTGTGCGTGACTGGCCTGGCCCATTTCACAGGACCGACCTCTTCCTCTCCTCGGCCCAGATACTCACGTTGTCACCCCCCACCCCCAACACAAACACATACACACACCACTTGGAGGGCAGGTTCAGTTAGTCGTCCCCCCTCTCCCCCCACGCTGGCCCAGGTGCATTGCCAAGGGATTTGCACTCAGGCTGCCCTGAATGGCAGCATGGGCCCGCCCCTGCCTTCCTGGCCTGATGGCCCGCTGTCACCTGTGCCTCAGTGAGGTCCTTGAGGGGGCAAGAGGTGAATTTCTAACCACAGTGGGGGCGGGAAATGCCAGCTGGAGGTGGGCTTGAATGGGTGCAGCAGGTCCCTGGGTAGCTGTGGCTCAGGTTCTGGGTGGGAACAAAGGCCTCTAGAAGACCTGGGGCAATGCTTCTTTGTCTTTTGGGGGATGGGATGGGGCGACCTACAAGTGAGAGGATACCTCTAACTGAACAGCTGAGTCTGTCTGACTTCACAGCTCCCTGTGGGAGAGTGTGGGTCCAGCTGCTTGCAGTTCTTTTCTGTGTCCTCTTTATATTAGAGGGGCACAGAAGACACTTCAGTCCCTGAGAATATCCCCACCAGCATCAAGGCCCAGGGGGCTGCAGACTGCCTTGCTTCAGAACGTCTTTCTTCCTCCTGGCTGGCCTCACCGTCTCCAGACCTTATGCCTGAGCAAGCACCAGCTCCAGGTAAGAAAGGTGGCAGGGGCCAGCAGATGGCAGAATGGTTAGTTGCTGGACTCCCACGTGGTTGACTGTGGTTCAAGTCCCCTGCCTGGCTTAAAACTCACATGGGTGCATGTGGGAGCATGCCCAAATCTGAAGAGGAGAATGGAGAAGCCAAGAGGAGAGGGATTGCAGTGTGGCCATACCCCTGGGGAGGTGATTTATCACTTTCTGTTTCTCTTTGGTGAACAAACATGTCCTATAGCAAAAAACCTCTCAGAAAGAAAGACAGATGGCAGACTGATGACTGAATCATGATTTCTCATCTTTCCCTCTTGGGAGGGCTGTGGTCACAAAGGTGTGGGCAAAGGAGTAGTCCACTTACTCCTCATGGGATGAGGCCATAGGGCTACTCTTTCTTTCTTTCTTTCTCTCTCTCTCTCTTTCTTTCTTTTTCTTTTATTTCTCTCAGAATTATTTAACTTTATTTACTTATTTATTTATTTATTTTCATTTGACCAGAGAGAGAGGGAAAGTGAGAAAGCAAGCCACCAGGTTCGGGACTCAAACCCTGGTTGGCCAAGTGGGAGTCCAGTGCCCTTAATCAGCATGCCACCTGCCAGCCCCAAGGGCTACTGTTTCTGTAGTTCCAGCTCAGTTCCATGATTGGACTCTTTACCTTACCCAGTCCTAAAGCTTAAGTGAATTAATTTGCTGATGAGGGATCAGGTCACAATGACCTCGTTTTTCTTTTAGGAGATTTGGAAAGCAAAAGATCAATTTATGAAAGTTGATGATAAAAGGTAGAACCACCTTTTTATTGCCAGAGGGCATGTCCATTCACCCCAGAAAGAGAAAGCACCCTTCCGTTTCTCCACCCTGTCAAAATCTGAGGCAAACACACACACGTGCCTGGGGTGTTTACACACGCGCCTAGGATGATTCTCCAACAACGGGTGGCCATGTGAGACCTGGCTCCCAATATACGGTGCTTAACTGCTGTGCTCTGGAGCCCAAGGGCAGGCGTTTTCCCTCCTCATAAGAAAAATCAGACGGTCGTTCAGAGAGTATAAAATCAGCACAAAGGGTGAGAAAGTCTTAAGGAGATGCCTTTCAAACATAACTGCCTGATGAGTTTCTTTTCCCCACTCAAAACACCGTCAGCATTTTCATGTTTCCACACGCACATTAAAGGAAATCAAAAACACTTCCTTTGTGTAATCTCCTTTCCCTTATGTTTTTCTTCCTTGAAACAGTGGACTGCTATCTCAGAGGCTTTGCAAGACAGAGTGGTTTGGTCCCCAGACTGGCAGAGTAAAGGTTAGTGACAGACACACCAAGCCGTTCTCAGGGGCCAGGGAGGACCAGATCTGCAATTTTCCAGGGCACATACTGAAAATGCAAGTGTCCAGTCCCGGCTGACTGAATGGGAGTTTCTTTTTAAAAATTATTTAATTTTATTTATTAATTATTAATTTGCTATAAGTCACACGTGCTCACCAGAGAGAGACAGAGAAAGCAAGAAAGGAAGCTGCCAGGTCCAAGACTCAAACTGTAGTCGACCATATGGGAGTCCAGTACTCTAATCACCATACCACCTGCTAGCCCCAATTTGTTATTTTCTTAAAGAATTACTTAACTTAATTTATTATTATTTACATTTTTTTCTTTAATTTGCTATAGGACATGCACACTCACCAGAAAGAGACAGACCGAGTGGGAAAGTGAGAAAGGAAGCTGCCCCGTCCTGCACCTGAACCATAACCAGCCTTGTGGGAGCTGGGAGCCTTAACCTCACCACCACCCGCTGGCCCTGTGAATTGGAATTTCATGGTTCAGGATCTTTCTTGGTATGTTCCCAGTGTGATTCTTTTATCTATTAAGAGTAAGTGATGAAAAGGTGGGGCGAGGGGACCAGCAGTTAGCGTAATGGCTATGCCGCTGGACTCCCACGTAGTCGACTGTGGTTTGAGTCCCGGACCCGGTGGCTTAAACTCACGCCGGGCGCGGGTGCGTGCGTGCCCAAGATCCCGAGAGGAGAATGGAGGAGAAGGGATTGCGGCGTGGCCATCCCCCCTGGGGGGTGATTTCCTGCTTTCTATCTCTCTGTTTCTCTCTGTCTGTCTGGCGAGCGCACGTGCCCTATAGCAAAAACCTCTCAAAAAAAAAAAAAAAAAAAAAGGTGGGGCGAGGAAGAAAAGCAATGGGCCCACATCCCTTTTCCCTTCTCTCCTCCCCCTCCCTTTGCCCTGTTCCTCCTTTCTGCTTTTGGTGTGCTGGACCTCCTCCAACCTCAAATCCTGCTTCTCAGGTCCAGGCTATCCCTTCTTCCCCATCTCCCTTCCCCCCATTGCACCATTTTTATCAAAGTAAAAGTCCAAAGAAATCATAGATATGACCTTTCTCTCCCCTGGGGAAAAAAAAAAGCAAGCAAGCAAGCAAGCAAGCAAGCAAGCTGTATTATGGGGCCAGCAGGTGCATGTTGATTAAGGCACTGGACTTCCTCATGGCAGACTGCAGTTTGAAAACAAGCATGGTGGCGTGCTTTCTCACTTTCCCTTTCTCTCTCTAATCAAATTAAAAAATAATAATGATAAGTAAAATTAAATAAATAATAAATAATTATTTTTTCAAAAGTCATGTCAGAACCAGTGGGCTGTGTGGTGGTTGGAGCACTGAATTCCCACCTGTCCGACTGTGGTTCAAGTACTGGTTTTGGTAGCTTGAAAATCACAACAAATAAATAGATAGATAAATAAATGCAGCAGATGGCATAATTACATCACTGGACTCCCACATGGTCCAGCACAGTTCAAGTCCCGAACCTGGAGGTGTAAAACTCACATGGGGTGCGTGTGTATGCACGCCCAAGATCCTGAGAGAACAGAGGAGATGGGATTGTGGCATGGCTATCTCCCCCCTCCAGGGGGGTAATTTTTCACTTTCTGTCTCTTGCTCTCTCAGTCTCTCCAGCAAGAACATGCACCCCATAGCAAAAATCTCTCTCTCAAATAAACAAAAAAAAAGTTGTATTGAGTCATTGGAAAAGCCATGGCGTATTTTTTTTTCAGGTTTTTCTATGTAAAAATGCATCATGACTTTTCCAATGACCCGATACCATGGAGATGTTGTCCCGGCCTGCGGGACCGTGGAACAGGTTCCTTGGGGGAGGGAGTGAGAGATGGGACAAACACACGCACACACACTACGAGGTGCTGGTCAAGTCATCTTCTTCCATCTACTTCCGTTTATTCAGGAAAAATGGCGAGTTATATACAGCTGGTGGGCACCAATTGGTTGCCCGAAATGCAAATGAAATACAACAGCATGAACCAATCATTGATGTGGGTGTATCTCTCCCGTTGCCTAGAAACCCAACCACTTCCGGAGAGAACAGTTGGTCACATGATTTGAGAAAGGATTTGCTCAGTGAGGAAGTGAAGCCTAATGGTTTCCAAGATGGCGGATAGCTCGAGATGGCTTCCGTATGCAGTGCTCGCCACAAGATGTTCTGTTATAGACACAGATGGAGAGACAGCATAATTGATCCCTGTTACCCTTCATTCAGCCTCTGCTGTCAGCTCTGACTTTGGTCTTGTTCCGTTATACCTCTACCCACTTCTCTCCAGCATAGTATTTATTTATTTATTTTGAGAGGTTTTTGCTATAGGGAGCATGTGCTCTCCAGGAAGACAGAGGGACAGAAAGCGAGAAATCACCCCCCAGGGGGGATGGCCACGCCACAATC